CCTTAGCCATTTGAGCCAACAGGCACTGAGCCAATTTTTCTTTCTTTTGAGACAGAGTTTCACTTTGTCACCCATAGCTCACAGCAACCTCAAACTCTTGGGCACAAGCAATCCTATTGCCTCAGCCTCCCAAGTAGCTGGAACAACAGGCGCCCACTATAATGCCTGGCTATTTTTAGAGACAGGAAGTCTTGCTTTTACTCAGGCTGGTCTCAAACTCCTGAGCTCAGGCAATCCACCTGTCTTGGCCTCCCAGAGTGCTAGAATTATAGGCATAAGCATATGCTTGGCCCTTTGGTTTCTGTCATTGAAGGCAGCATCTGGAATTCTTTTGTGATGGTTGAGTAGATAGCAATTGATAGTCATTGCAGTTCTTTCCTAGCTGATCTGCTTCCACACACACCTTTCCTTTCACACTTAAGTTTCCAATGGTATTCCCATGTAATAGTGTAGCCATCATTTACTACATCCAATACCAAGGTCAAGACGTTCACATTATGTTCATTCTTATAGTTTTACCGCATCCCCTTACTGATACTCTGCAAATTACATTAGTCTTTTAATGCGTTTTTAAGACATAGAACTGGAAAAAGATGGGAAATTTGTTAAAATATATGTGAGAGCAAGAAAATAACAAATATTAGTTACACTGTCTTAAGCACTTGGAAGAGATCTTCCTTTCTGTACATACGTTCTTTTTTATCTTTGCCTTTACTACCTTGGTTCGTAGGTTTTTTCCCTGATACAGTGACCAAAGCTTTATTTCTGACCCACTAAGCTCTTGTTCATCTTTCACCACCATATATTTTAGTACAAAAATAGAGAATTCTCAGTTTTCCTCCCATGTGCTTCCATGATCTCATTGTGTGGCAGCTTCTGTATTACCAAGATTAAAGCCCTCCAACCACTGTCTTTTCTCTTGCACAGAGAAGAAACCAAAGCACTACCACCACCACCACTACCCCAACTAACATGATGACTGTCTTTTTTTGCCTGATTATCCATGGCATAAAGAATTTAGAACTACCATGTGGTAGTTTGAATTTCCAATTCTTTTGAACTAATTTTTTTAACTCCTTCCTTAAATACTGTAACCTTTAAAACAGAGTCCAGAGGAACAGAAAGCAAGAGGTTTAAGAGTGGGTCATTGGCTGGGCTCAGTGACTGATGCCTGTATCCTACCACTCTGGGAGGCCAAGGTAGGTGGATCACCTGAGCGCATGAATTCAAGACAAGCCTGAGCAAGAGCAAGACCCCATCTCTAAAAAGAGCTGGGTGTTGTGGCAGGTGCCTATAGTTCCAGCTACTCAGGAGGCTGAGGCAA